GGAAAGCCCTCCACAAAGAGGTAAGCTGTCAGCCGGCGAGAGCGAAGAGGAGCAGCGTCACACCGCCCCGTAGCGTTCGCTAAAAAAAAACGAAATGCAGCCATACTTACCTCCGGCCACGTAAATCGCAGTCTCCAGAATTGTTCGCAGGGCTACGTTTTCAGAATAAGCTTGGGTTGGGTAAATAGACAGAAAATCCCCGGAATGACTTTACCAGTAAATTCAAAAAAGCACTGTTCACACAGACAAGGATGTTGTGGGAATTTACTGGAAAAAACCATTCAGACATCCATTCCAAAATACCGTTAAATTCTGACATCATTAACCAGAAATGACCTCTACATGGCTGCGCTTGTATCTGTAAACATATAAAGGCTCAGGCTTTTGTTAATGGTTTCACTTTTATTTAAAGCTTTAGCATTCATGCATCTGCTTTGTCCAAAACATCCAAAGGCAGAAGAGCTACCTGTTAAATGTTTACACAATTGACGATATTACAAATTCTGTGGATGGATAAGTACTGTGAACAACCTAGATAAAAACATCTGGGGGAACACTTTCGCAAGTCGAGATGTACATAAAATGTGTGTGCTAGCGCTCACCAGCAGCTTCACGTGCACACGCATCAAGCATCTGAAGCCGAACTTGAAAGTAATAAAAACAGCGGTTTATCATAAACATTTTACCGATAATTCACAGGCATTAAGAAGGATCTTAACATAGAATATTTATCTGTATAACGACGGGGTGACACTCACAACAGAAGGTAAGATCCAACATGCAGGTTTATTCAATGTCAGGCAAGCAGTGGTCATCAGGTGCAAACGGGTATGTATAGACCAGGCCCGGATTGGCTAATCGGGAGGATCGGAAGAATTCCCGGTGGGCCGGTCTGTTTTTTGGCCGCGAGGGCCGGTGTCCCTAGCTGCCTGCACTCTCAGCAGTCACACTTTTTTTCTTCTATTTATTTTTTTGTCCATAGCTTTACTCTTTTAATCATTATTTTACCGTAGTGCCGCTCTTTTTATTTATTTTCTCGCAGCCCCGTGAGAAAAATGCAGCCTGCAGGTTAACTAACGTTAATGATGATGATGTAATGCAACTATCGACCCCAAACAGCGGCACCTTAGTGAATATAAGAATTCGAATAAAATGAATAAAACACCTGCTCAATGAAAATCAAATGATTCACTATATTAATAAATCTGACATAACTTGATCAGAAATCTAAAAATAGGAGAAAAAGATTGAGCCATCAAAAATAGAAAGTAGTGCTGTGTCTTAAGGGTTGCAAGTCATTAGTTATTTTTTACTCTCACTGTAATAGCGCCAATGTGGTCCAGTGGTAAGCACATTGCATTTCAATGTCGCAGACCTGTGATCGAATCTCCTATGACAAATCTGTTTTTTTTTTTTTTTTTTCGATTTTATTGTTAAGACATAAATTACTGTTAGGGCTGTTGACCATTTGAATTTCTAAAGCAGCAGTTTTCTTGAAAAAGACAAGATAGTGCCATTAGTAACTGAATTGGAATCAGTCGTGAACTGAGGTGGGCCGGTCTGGCTTGAAACTCCAGGGCTGAAAATGAGTCCCACTCCAGCCCTGGTATAGACAGTCCAAAATCGTAGTCGATATAAACAGGCAACAGGTCAAAAGGCAGGCGCCTAAACTAGAGAACAAGGTTGACAAGGCTTAGGTCTAACACGGAGAAAACAAGACAGGGAAACGCGTTGTAATGTCACAAAGATGCAAACAAGACTCGGCAAACTGGAAGGGTGAAAGAGTGGCTTATGAATGGAGTGATATCAGTCTGTGACAAGGTTCAGCAGGTGATTGCAATCAGGATAGATGAATGAACAGGCGTGCGTGTTTGGGAGCAGTGCATGTATGAAAATGTAGTCCTGGGAAATGCGGAAATGTAGTTTTGAGAGTTCGTGTGAGAACCAGCGATCTCTGGAAAGCGATCGCTGGTTGTGTGACAATCTGACTAACATCTAGCAGCTAAATGTGTCTGGAAAAATATTCAAAGGCTTTTATTTTCATAAACGTAGATGTGAATGCATCTGAATGTTCTGATTGGCTGGACGTCTTTCATCAGTGTTTTCTAAACGCTGATGTAACACAATCTTTCTGGCAATTTTCCTTCTGCGTTCACACAGAGCAGCATTCCGGCACATTACCGATAATGTTACAACTTCTCTTCCTGAAAAAAATTGCGGGAACAAAATAACAAAAACTGCACCAATATATCTCAAATACACTCTGTATCCTGAATTCAATCTATTTTTAGACATTCTCGTTCACTTTTAAGCATTATCAGTTTAGAGGTCTAGAACTGATATACAAAATCCATTGTCCCGCAATTGCAATAACCCAAGAGCTAAACCTCTGATCTTATTATATCATATTATATCTCATAGTTTCTGCTATGTCTCCAAACTGGGTTTTCAAAGGAAAGGATGTCAAAGTGGAGACTGGATGTTCAGTAATCCCATCTCGGCAGATTATGATCGAGAGCAGAAACCATCTAGACAAAATGAAAGTTCGCGCACACACACACACACACACACACACACGCACGCACGCACGCACGCACGCACGCACGCACGCACGCACGCACGCACGCACGCACATGTACACGGAAAAAAGGCCAGAGTGATGGCAGAGAATAGATGTTATAGTAGCGAGCAGGGCAGCTTGCCATTTCAGTCAGTCACAGATTGTGGCAGCAAGAAGACTTTTGGTGTGTGAAGTATCTGTGAAGCATCAGGGGTGAGACTGATGATGGGGGATCAGACTGTGACCGGATAAGGAGTCTGGAAGGTTTGTGTTTAGTGGCAAATTAATAGGCCTCTGATCACTTTGAAGTTGAAATTATGATGTTATCATCAAAATGCTTTAACCTATTAAGTATCAACTTTTCTGAGCACATCCTTCCCCTTGAAAGATGCCATTTTTTGTCTGTATATGTAGTTAACAGTATTGATGTGAAAAAGTAGATGTAAAAATGGACTGGAATAATAATAATAATAATAATAATAATAATTATTATTATTATTATTATTATTATTATTATTATAAATATTATATAATAAATATAAAAAATAATAATGATAATAATAATAATATAAATTGTTGGAAGATTAAAGTAATATAAACTGTAACCAAGTTGTGTTCCAATTATTAAGCAAATTTCATTAAATTGTTTTTTAGGATTAGCAGCTGTACCTATTTCTGTAATATGGAAAAAAAAGAGTGTAACTTACATTTAACTACCCAGCTATAATAATCATTAACATAACTTACATTGGCGACACCTTCAATTAATTATTTAATTAATTTAATTACAGTGGCAGATTTAGTGTGTCAAAGGAACACTTCCCTTTTTTTTTTAATTAGGCTCATTTTACAACTCGGCACACCATTTTTGAGTCTATCTCCATGTCTGGCGGTAGCACTTTTATCTTAATTTAGCATAGCTTATTGAATCAAAATAGTAGCATCTAGCTTAAAATGAGTTTCAATAACCTTTCTATTTAAAGATTGGGTCCCACTTAATACTAGGTGGCCTTAACTACTATGTATACTTGCATCAAAAATAAATACTTACAGTGTTCATGGTGTATTGCAGAACACTTCTAGTGTTCTTGAGGTGGAATACGGGTAAACTAAGGGACAGGTTTGGTGGTATGGGTAGGTTTAAGGGTGAGTTAAGGTGTAAGAAATGGATCAACAGTGTAATTACAAATGTATTAACAGAAATTAATTACCGATGTAGTTACATGTAAAAACGTGTGTTTACTCAATAAGTACATAGTAACAAATAATTAATTGTAAGTGAAATTAAGTGTAAGTGCATATTAGTTATACTATATAAGTCCAACCAATATAAAATGGAAAAAAAGCTTAATGATTCTGTAGTTCCATCTTGTACTAAAATCATTGGAATAAATAGATTCTAGACCGATATGGGAACTATACTGTCATTCCAATCAAGGAATGTTGCTGCCGTACCATCGCTGCACCAGACACAAGAATATATACAGCACCTAAAAATATTGGGTAACTTTCATGTATTCAAGTTCAAATAGATACGGTTTAGGACAAGGGTGGGCAAACTTGGTCCTGGAGGGCCGGTGTTCTGCACAGTTTAGCTCCAACCCTAATCAAACACACCTGCTTATAGATTTATTGTGATCTTAAAGACACTGATTAGCATGTTCAGGTGTGTTTGACTAGTGTTGGAACAAAACTCTGCAGGGACACCGGCCCTCGAGGATCAAGTTTGCCCATCCCTGGTTTAGGATCTGACCCAAAGTAAGTATGTTCTGAATCCTCTCTCATAGTCTCCATGGTTGCAAGGCATGCTCCCTG